AGCGTAGCTGTGTGGTAAATATATACTGATTATAAGGACACCATGCTGTAAATACAGAATATCTTACTCAGGTAGTCCTCTTATACCTGTACTCAGATAAATTCAACATGACAATAGAATAATATAATCTGTTTAAAAGTAGAGCAGTCAACCTGGTTGATGACAAAAATTACTAGCTCTAAATATGTATTAAAAAAGCTACTCCACTTACAGTGTAACCACTGCTACGCAGTGGTCTTGAACACAGTCCACCAGGTAGACTCACAGCGTAGCTGTGTGTAGTACCGTAGGTACTTACGGTGTTAATTCACTTCTGTGCCTGCAGGTTTAATCCTTAAATCACACCACACTGCATGGTGTACAGGAATAAAAAGCATTCTACATGATGTATATATTTACTTCACAGCCTACCAGGTAGTGGAGTTCAAGTAAAACCACACTGCGTAGCAGTGTGTGGTTGAGTCTGCATGGCAGTGTGGTCTTATTAGACCAGTAGCTACTCACACTGATAGCGGTTAACCTTACCTTTTCCTTACGTACTCCAGTCTATTGTGGAGGATAGAAATTGAAACAGGACACACTGCTGCTGATTCACCGACCAATCCTTATGACGGTTACTAACGATTTCTACTTCCATCTCCTTTCAATTCAATACAATGACCGTTCTTATAACCAGACATCACGTTAGACGTGATGTCTTTACCTGTCGGTAGCACTATAACCACACACGTAGTGTGTAGGCAGAGGTTGACACACAGCGTAGCTGTGTTATTTACTGACCACACACTGCTACGCAGTGTGTCAAGGCAGTAGTGTATAGATAAGACAGCACTGCGTAGCAGTGCTGAGTTGATAAAGGTTTTAAAATCACAAGTAGCCTGTATCGGTAGATTATCTTGTAACACACACAGAGTGTGTGTTTGAATAAAGACCACTGGTGGTCAATACACTACACAACTCTGGTTGTGTGTATAACTAGACCACTGCCTAGCAGTGGTTATAAGTGTTCCATTAACTAGCTAGTTAAAAGAATGTTAATGTTGTACACATTTAATCCAGTTTATTTCTTCGGATGGTCTACCACTACGCAGTAGTGGATTAATAAAAACAGACCACAGCGTAGCTGTGAAGTGGTAACCTCACCACACTGAGTGCATTTGTATAATTAATTTTATTTCTTACAGCAGTACATACTAATATCTGTCACAGAGAATATTGTAATAATATCTGAGGTCTTATAAATATACACACAGGTTGGCTGTATAACAGTCTCATATACCTTGTTATTATGTGTAGCTACACACAGCAGATCCAATACACACTGCAAGGCAGTGCTACAGTTATAGCCTACACACGTAGTGTGTCTACCACTGCCTCAGACTCTACCGCAGGTAGAGACACTACGTGTGTTTGAATAAAGACCACTGGTGGTCAATACACACACAGTAACCTGTGTTAAGGCCTACATTTTTATACACCAGAATCAATGTATTTACATTAGTAGCAGCCAGCTACGCTGTGCTGTGGACAGATGAGCTAAATAGTATTTGTAACACTCACTCTACCTGTAAGTCTACCACTGCCTACACACTACGTGTGTCTACCTGCGGTAGAGTCTGCATGGCAGTGGTAGAGACACACTACGTGTGTAGGCTGTGGAATTAATTTTATCATCTGATTACAAGCCACTAGTGTGTTTTAATTGTATCACTGACCTCCGGTCAGTTCTCTATATTAGACCACACAGCTACGCTGTGAGGTCAGTGTTAATAAGACACACTGGTTTCACTGTGTGTGTAGTTGACTTACCTGAATCCATCGAATAGCTTGCTAACGGCTTGAACGGTAATAATATCGATAAGGATGAAACCTTCCTGAGCGACTCGTAAGACACTGGATGGTATGGTTACAGCGATTACAATCGGTTAAGTTCTGTGTTCCAGCGCTATTCTTAGCTTCTAACACTCCTTTAAGTTAACACTGTATGGACGCTACCACCAGGCTAAGAGTCTATGTAACACACTTCCCTTCTCGCCTTCTTCGATAGATTACATAGAATACCGTCCATCACATGTTTGATTGACATTTAACCGCTAACTCCGATTCTTCCAAGTATACTTTAACATACCAAGGTACGGTCAGCTTCTTTTCAGCGGAGATTACACTACGAGACACCAAATAACTAACTGCACACACGTAGTGAGTCTACCACTACGCAGTAGTGGATTAATAAAAACAGACCACACGCAGTTGATCTTAAATTATATATCACGTTAAGACACTGCAAGGCAGTGCTACCGCAGGTAGACACACTCTGAGTGTCTACGACAGGTAGAACACACTGCTACGCAGACTCAACCAGGTTGAGTCACAGCGTAGCTGTGTGTGGTAAATATATACCTTGAGACACACGTAGTGTGTCTCAACCAGGTTGGCAGAGTTAGACCAGGAGATACGCTGTTGGTTATAGCCCTCAATACACTACAGCTACGCAGTGGTGTAGTGATACAGATATTATTCTGAGTAAAATACAAATTGTAAAACAAGCCAAACTAATTCAACAAAATGCCAGTACAATACGGAATAATTGTCATGGATTGCAGGTTGGGAGTAAGTAAGTCCCATTGGCAGGTTATTATAACCATCAGCTGTGAATATTTGGCAGTTCGCACCGATACGCGCAAGTAGTAAAACCACACCAACGAGTACATGACTAAAATGTAAACCTGTCAATGTAAAGAATAGACAACATTGCAATGAATCGTTTATTGAATAATGAATCATCATAAATTCTGAAGTTTGTAACCAACTGAAACAGAATCCAATTACCAGAATTGTAAATAGTACCATACTTGCACCACCGTAAATAGATTTATCACGAATAGTGATTAGGTAGCTACATACAATAGAAGCGGAGCTAAGAAGAAGCGTTATTGTTAGAATCAATGCCCTGGCCGAAGCTGGAATGGCAGCTTCGCACAGGCTAGACCAACTCAGCTGAAATACTCCCCAGAAATATCCGAAAAACAATAACGCTTCTGTCAACATAAGACTTAGACAACACGATGAAATCGCCGAGAAAGTAGAGTGGTAAGATTCACGTAAGGAGTATAAAAACAGTAAAAAGAACACAAAGTTACACGACAACAAGATTCCAATACTAAAGTATCTAAGTGTAGTACCGAATAGAACACATAACAAAGGATATGATTGTAAATGACCTTTAACTAGATTAACAGCTAAATTAGATACTAAATATGATCCAAAAAACACTATTCCATCTGATGTAACCACTGCTACGCTGTGAGTCTACCGCAGGTAGACACACGTAGTGTGTGGTAGACTCAGCTACGCTAAGAGTAGCTGATTTAAATCAGCTACCTGGTAGACTCTGAGTGTCTACGACAGGTAGAACACACTGCTACGCAGTGTGTGGTAAATATATACCTTGAGACACACTACGTGATCTAACTGACCTCCGGTCAGTGATACAATTAAAACACACATCTGATTGTACGTGCTAATTGCATAAAATGGATAAACTTACTACACCACTGCGTAGAACTATAACCACTCACGTAGTGAGTGGTTACTCTTTGTGAAACTAGACCTTCGGTCAGTCAACTAATGGATTACAGCTACCAGGCACAGCCTCTTATAATTGTATCCATGGTTATCCGGTTGATTAGACCGGTTCACTGATCATGGTATAGCTAACAGCATGTATCGTAATGGATTGCGATGTCACAACTACTAATTTTATATCTCTGCAGAGATATTATCTGTGTCACGCAGTTAACATTTAGCTCCAAAGACTATGGATCACATCACCACTGCAAGTGGTGATGTTATTCATTTTAACCAGATACATAAAATAACTAACATTCAATTGCAAAGCAATGGTTTCTTTGTAGTAAATTAAGACGCTCTTATCTGTGGAGTTGGAACATCATAATAGTTGGTATTTATACCACACTGCATGTAGTGTCTACCTGGTTGACTCAGCTACGCTAAGAGTAGCTGATTTAAATCAGCTACCTGGTAGACACACCTCAGGTGTGTGGTCTAATATAGAGAACTGACCAGAGGTGTTAAATAACACTCACTACGTGAGTGTTATTTAACTATTTATCCAGTACCGTTGTAGACTATATCATCTGTCAGGTATGTATTTTAACACAGTTCTGTTGACTCACTGCCTACACACGTAGTGTGTGGTTGACTCTATTCAACTTGACCTCCACAGCTACGCTGTGGTTACGAGAGCTGAGAGTCTTTTAGACCACACGTAGTGTGTCTCTACCTGGTAGAGACTGACCTCATTTTATTCGGTCCTACATGTAGTGCTAATATTTCAGCCTGACGGTCATAAACCATAAAGCATGTGATCTAATTTCCAGATAAGGAAGCGACTAACCATTGCTATAGTAGTAGTGTATCGAGGTAGTGGAATACAGTGAATAGCTTGGAAGCTAAGCAGTGTCTGAGGAATAGTGAATAGACCGTAAGGTCCAGTAGTGATTATAGTTACCCAGCGACACCATCCGTTGTTTTGGTGTGAACATCTGTGTTACCATTCATCAATTAAAAGGAATACACAGTCAACCGTAATAACCACACAGCGTAGCTGTGTCTGCCTAGCAGACTCAACCGCAGGTTGAGACTCAGCTACGCTAAGAGTAGCTGATTTAAATCAGCTACCAGGTTGAGACACACTACGTGTGTGGTAGAGAGCATGATAACAGAATACTATATGAAGTTGTAGTATAGTCAGCGTACATCAACAGCTGAGGATCATATTTAACTCCGATACACACCAGCTTATTTTTAGCTGGCGGTCTCCGTAGTTTATAACACCTCAGCTAGTGGTAGGCTGTGAAGTAAATATATACATCATGTTCCGTGAGACCACAACAATATTATAATCAGCCAACGGCTGATTTTTAAGCCTGTCAAGTTCCTGTAGAATAGTTCACTCTCTTACGATTTGGTTATCGAGCTCAAGAATGGTGTGCACTGTTGAAGACGCTAACTTCCCGGTCAAACGACCCTGTGTTTAGGAATACAGTACCGAGTATAAATATAGCAGAGCCTAAGGAACATAATTGGTTCCATGAATTAAGATTATCTGGATAATCGGAGATACGTCGAGGTAACACACTAAATCCGAGGATGTGCATTGGAATAAATGTTATGAAAATACCAGTTAAGAAGATCAGAGTGAAAAGAATTGCTGTTCTATTGGCTACAAGGTTGTAGCCGAAGAAATTGGTTTGAAACACACAAATACCCGCGAGTATGGATATGATCGCTCCTAACGATAAGACAAAATGGAAGTGAGCGATCACATAATAGGTATCATGTAAGGTTACATCAACAGCTGCATTTCCTAACACCACACCTGTGGTGCCACCTAAAGTAAATGTAACAATAAAGCTGAGAGCATATAATGTGCTACAATGAAACGTAACGTTGTTACTACCCATGTATGTGGTAATCCAATTAAATACTTTAGTACCTGTCGGTAAAGAGATTAAGATTGTAACAGCAGTAAAATAAGATCTGGTATCACCTTCCAATCCTACGGTCATCATATGATGTGCCCAGACCATACCACCTAGTACAGAAATACAACCCATTGCCAGTATCATTGATTGTGACCCAAAGATCACTTTATTATATGATGTTGATATCACTTGACTAATTATAGCAAAGCCTGGAATAATTAAAATATACACTTCTGGGTGACCGAAGAACCAGAACAGGTGTTGATATAACACTGGATCTCCGTAAAACACAGGGTCGTAGAAGATAGTATTAAAATGAAGGTCAGTTATTAACATTAATAATGCAGCGGTAAGGACCGGTAGTGTTGAGATTAACATGATAGACGTAAATATGATAGACCATGAATTAAAGGTTATTATACCCAAAGAATAACCATTAGTTCTCAAATGGAAAATAGTGGTCATAAAATTAATCGAAGATAATAAACTAGAGAATCCGGTCAACAGCAGTCCAGCTACGATTACATCGATAGCCAAAGGACTTAACGATAAGCTGCTGCTTAATGGTGGATATAAGGTCCAGCCTGGTCCAAACCCGAATTCGGATAACGATGACAGCAGCACTAACAGAAAACCTACGGG